TCTGTGTAAAAGTGTACACACATGCTTGCTGGGGGAGGGCGAAGCCAGACTCTCCTGATAGGGGTCTTTTAATCAGTTACAGAAATCTCTGAGTTCACATCTATCAACAGCAAAGAAATCTGGAGTGCTCTAGTTTGTAGGGATACCATCACAAAGTACCACAAACTATATATATCTGAAAACTGTATCAGGAAACTCGAGAAGATGGGTGGGAATGGGATAGATAAGGGGAAGGGAAAACAATAAAAGGTGACATTGATCAAGATGCCTCGGACACATAAACTGATTGTTGAACTGAAACACCTTGGTGCAAGTATTTGAAGAAAACAATAAAAAATAAACAGACTAATTGACTAAAACAACAGAAATGCACTGTCTTCTGGCTGTGGAAGCTGGAAATTCTATCAAGGTGGAGACAGCTTGAGGTTTCCCTCTGTGGAAGGTAGATGTTTTGGGGCTGATTCAGTCTGTATCTTCATTACAGTCTTCCCTGTGCTTGTCTCAGGAATTTCCTTTTCTTATGAGAACATTAATCATATTGGCTTAGGGTCCACTTCATTTAATCTCACTTTAACATAACTACCTATTTAAATCCTCTAGCTACAAATGTAATCATTTTCTGACATCCTGAGAGATAACGGCTTCACTGTACGAACTTATGGGAGACACAATTCAGCTGATAACAGGTATCAAGCTTGAAAAAGTTAAAAATTGTCACTATAAAAATATTTTATCTTGTAAGGCTAAGAGCAAAGCATGCTCCTCCTGTCACTGCATTAATTATCATCTTGTGTTAATATTCCATGTTGAAATTAACCTCTCTCCTTATCACTATTGGCCCTAATACCAAGTATGCAAGGTTCTTCCTTGAGATGTATGTGTCTTCCTGATTAGTGCCTGAGCTCCTGGAGGGCAGGTGGGATTGCTTTTTCAGTTGTCTTAGGATGTCTTAGCATGAACCTGCTTTGGAAGGGGACACACAGCCAGCAGCAAATGCTTACTCACTAAGCCTTGCTCTACAGCAGGACCTGTGCTCACCCCTGGGCTTATGGTGATTGACAGGATGTGACCTGTGGCCTATATGACTTCAGAATGAGACATGTATAAAACTGGGAAGGCCTATGTTAAGCAGACCAAACCAAACTCACTCTAGCAGCTGCATGCTAGGATAAGAATTCAATTGAGAGGCTGGATCAGTGGTAGTCAGCATCCTTGGTGTGTGTGTGTGTGTGTGTGTGTGTGTATGTGTGTGTGTGTTCTAGGACTTGAACTCAGGAACATGGTGCTGTCTCTTTTTTGTTCGAGGCCAGTACTCTATCATTTGAGCTACAGCTCCACCTCTGGTTTTTGGTAATGAGTTGAAGATAAGAAACTCATGGACTTTTCTGCCCAGCCTGACTTCAAACTGTGATCCTTAGGTCTCAGATTGCTAAATAGCTAGGATTACAGGTATGAGCCAGTGGTTTGTCTTTGTCTTTAATGTCTATCTTACTTTCACTCTCTGCAATGCTGAACAATTTGCCTCACTTTTCTGAACCTTTTATAATGATATTGAATGAAGACCTAATGAAGAAGTATGTTCCTGTACATTTGGGGCACAGGAGATTTGGAAAGTATGGATTTGTGTCTCTTGGCTATGCAGTTGGGCATCCACCATTCTCTTGGTCCTACCTAAATTCTCACCAGAGCTGGCACAAGGGCAGCTGAGACAACTCTGCTAGAACAGGAAATGTTTGAGTCAGCAATACTGACCATACTAAGTTAGCAGCACAGACAGGAGAACAGAGGCCTCTCCACTCTGCTCAATAAGTAGTTTCCTGGGTGGCTCATTTCCACACACTGCAAAGAAGGATGTACTTGCAAAGACCCATTCTCCAGGATAATGACTGTGTCTTGCTGAACACTATTATTTTTTTATTCTGAAGCATTAAAGGAAGCTGTTTGTCTTGAATCCCTCTCCCAGGTCTCTTACATAACCCAAAGCTTCCTTTTGTCCCTCCCTGCTTCCCATCAGAACTGCTCTTCTTCCTTCCTCCCTTCCTTTTCCTTCCCTCCCTTCCTTCCTTCCCTTCCTTCCTTCCTTCCTTCTTTCCTTACTTTCTTCCTCCTTCCCTCCCTCCCTCCCTCCCTCTCTCACTCCCTCTCCCTCTCTCTCTCTCTCTCTTTCTTTCCTTTCTTTCTTTCTCTCTCTCTTTCTCTCTTTCTTTCCTTCTTTCTCTGTGCATATGTTATATTTCTTCTACAGTTCTGCCTTGATTTCTGTCCTTGGACAATACTGGCAGGAAAGAAAGAAATGCTTCTTTCTGCCTACTTGTCAGAAGAGCAGAGGTCATTTGAATCTTACTGTTAAGAGGCTGTCAGGAATATCCTTAGAGTTCAGAAAGTTGATTCCCTTTCTGGAACAACAATAACAAAAATCCCAGTGGGGTGAGGGTAAGAGATAGCAGGTGATTTGGGTTCTAATACATCAGTTGTATTATCCAATACTGAGGTATTTTTTGTGACCCTAGCTTGAGGCTGGGATTTTTGCTGTGCAGAATATTCTCAGTATGTAAGGGAAACGTTTCTTCAACAATTTCAAAGGCAAACTCCTCTAAGTTCCAAAAGCCATGAGACATGTGGCACCATGAGCTTCGTTAGTTACAGGGTTGACTTACAGACACAGGGTTATAACCTTTCCTGACAGGGAGGGAGGTGACGGTGACACATCTCATCTGCCTGTGCTTTCCGTGGGGCTAAGAGTAGGATGGTTCTGGAGCAGGGGTGAACTCCAGGTGAGAAAACAGTGGAAGATACAACAGAGACTGTGAAGACTGGTATAGCATTCTAAGAAATTCATGTTTTGATTTATAAGATTATCTCTTTGTTGCTTTGTATGTCCCTCCCCCACAGTATAACCCGTGCTTTCACTGTATTTGATGTCGGTATAATTTGTGGAGGAAAAGGGGAAAACAAATAGTTTAAATAGGGATACAGGTGGACCCATTGCAACAATGAGATGTACAAGTTGTTATGTTGAAAATGAACTTTACAACTTTGGTGGGGGGGGAGGCAGGGAGGATTGGGTGGGGGGTAGGGGTAGGATTGGAAGGGATGGGAAGGGAAAACAAAGGAGGAGGCTGCAATACTTGATAAGAAATGTACTCATCTTGCCCATGTAACTGTAACCCGTCTGTACAGTATTTTCACAATAAAAAAAAGAAATTCATGTTTTGCTTTTTTGCAAAAGTAGTTCTTATCAATGAAATAATCATGGTTGGCTGAGCATTAGTGGCTCATGCCTGTAATCCTAGCTACTCAGGAGGCTGAGATCTGAGGATCAATGTTCAAAGCTAGCCCAGGCAGAAAAGTCAATGAGACTTTTAGCTCCAATTAACAGTAAAGAACTAGAAATGGAGGTGTAACTCAAATTGGTAGAGTGCCAACCTTAAGTGAAAAAAGCCTGGCGGGAGTGTGAGGCCTTGGGTTCAAGAGCTAGGACAGGCATAACAAATAAAATAGAATACTGGCAGCATACCTCAGCATTTCTATATAAAGGATCTGTACAGGCTAACATTCAAAACTCAGGTCTTCTTAAAATGGCACAATGGTCTTATTACACAGACATATGCTACTATATGTGATCTTAAGGATATAATTTTATATACACTTGTGTGGTGCACAGCAGCTAGTTAGTCATAACACTGGGTGCCTGATATTCATCAGTAATTCAGGCAGTAGTTGACCATTTATTTGTTTAGTTGGTTAAATAGCTTTTTATGCAATAAGTGGTTCAAATCCACCATCTCAAACAATAACTGAATTTAACTACATAGCTGGACTCCTATCCCTTTCCTTGCTTTTTCCCTTCCAAAAGCAATCATCAACCTAATCCTGTATTCATGACTCCTTTGCTTTCATTTTTTCTGACAGCTCATTGCATTCATTTATCATCCTGTAATATATATTATTATTTTATTTCTATTTAATTTAGAATCATGTTTTAGTATTGCTAGCGCCAACCATTTTGATTACTATAGAACATTTTATTGTGTAAATGCAGTACAGTTTGTTTTTCACTTTGCCTTTGATAGGCATTTGGGTTGCCTCCCAGTTTTATTACACACAGGGCAGCTATGAGCATGCCCTCTCTTCCACATGCCTCTGCTTGTACAAGTACAAGAGTGGAATTGTTGGATCACAGGGTATAGGGAATACTTAGTTTCAGAAATAATGACAATGTTAAAAAGCCTACATGAACAGACCCCCCACATATGCACCTAGATGATTCTCATTATTCCAACTGACATTTGCCACCATGAAATAATATAAACAATGTTTTTCATTCAGTGTTCAATCAGAAAAAGTTTAAAAATCACATTGTGTTCCCAAATATAATATTATATATAATATATAATATATATATGATGTAAAATGGGATGTCACGCTGAAACTAGAACTAACAGAGCTTGGAAGCTCAGAGGTGCCAAAGCAATGCCTCTGTAGTACAACTATGCATTGATAGGACAGTTCTATGGAAAGGCCAGAAAACAAGTAGATTAGCTTCTATATAGGAAAACATGTTAAGAGTTCATGATGGAAACACTGAGGACCCGATGTATTCTGCACTCCTTCTAAATGGGCTATTGTGGTAGCCTGGGTTCTTATCTGCAGGTAGTAGCACCTTTCCTGGAGAAAAATCATCCTGTATACTTCCTCTTTAGCTCAGACAGATATGAATTGTGATGTGTGTATATGTAAGTGTATTTACACTTTTACACATTTACATACATATGTATATAAGGGCATATATTGTTAAAGTATATATACACAAATGTATATGTTTAACAAGCCAATCACTTTTTATTAGCAGCTTTTCATATATATATATATGTCTTATAAGTCATATATTCACATATATATGTATCTATATATATAAATATATACACATATGTCCATGTTCAGCTACATTTTGTGAAGATAGTATGTTCTGGCCAAGGCAATGGCTGAAAGCCTCTTACCTTCACATAGAGCTGCTGGAACTCTTCCAGGTTCAGCCTCCCGCTGGGACAGTCCTTGAGGAACCCCTTGTACCACTGCTTGAGTTCATGCTCATTGAACTCTGTGCTCTTCACCAGATCCTCCATGACTTCAGGGGCCAGTTTGCTATTCTGTTTCCCCATTGTGCCTGGAGAAAAGCAAATCAATGCAATTAGTTCTCTGACTGTGATCACTTCAAACTGGATTAGGAGCCAAATTGGAGTTCTGAGCAATCCCTTGGTCAGAATGTGTTCCAATGAATCTGTTCACTGTCTGCCTGCGTCTGCCTCCTCCTTCTTGTTATTTTAGAACAGACAGAAGCAAAAAAGACCCTTCAGACAGCCCAAAGGGCTGTAAAACTCACTGTCTTCCTCTTTGTGTTGTCTGCCACAAGACATCAAATAACAAGTGAAATTCAGGCAGCCATTTTTTTCTTCAGGCTGTTATTATCATGTAAGTGAAAGTTGTCTCTCTCTTCTCTTTCTCAGACTTTCCTGCTGAGGGTGGCTTTGAACTGTGATCCTCAGATCTCAGCCTCCTGAGTAGCTCAGGTAATAGGTGTAAGCCACCGGCAGCCAGTAGTGGAAGCTCTCTTTTTGCTACTCTTTCTGTGAATACAATTTATTAACACTTACTGTGCAGTATCTCAGTCTATATTTAGTTTGTAGGGATATATAAGATACTCTTAGGTCTGCTGGGGAAAAAAAATGGGCCCTTCCCCTCTTTTGCCCCTCCATGCACACGTGGCCCTCTCTACAAGTCTCTACTCATCACCTGTAACCCAGGTAACTGGCACACCTGGGGGCAGTGGGAGGTTCTCCAGGCCTTGAGGTCCTCCCCTACCTTCTCCCCTTCCCCTTTCCTTCTATAACTTTTCTCCCTGTCATAGTCCGCCCTCTGCACATCTCCTTCTGGTGCAGGCTGGCCAGTTGGCTCTGCTAATAAACTCTTTTCTGTCTGAAGAACCATGCGGAGGTCTCCTTTCTCCAAACCTTACAGATACAAATGGGACTACTGGCAAGAACTACAAGATTTTCTAACCCAGTGATGAAAAGTAGTTTAGAAAATCTGATTGGCAAGCATGGGCTGTCTTGGTTGGTCTAGTTCTGAAGCTGTAACTTCCTTTTACAAATGAAAATATCTCATTTTTGTCAATTGCATTTAGTCCTTACTTCTTTCATCTTAGAAACTGCTTATTTTCAGAGCTGAAAGTTCTATGGCTTTTTTCTAGGGGCTGGTTGGTGAATATTCACTGATGTAATTCCAGGCTGTTATTACTGATAGAAAGTCAAATTAAATAATGCTACCTGTATTCTAGTTTATGTGGCCAACCTCATAGTAGAGTACAGGGGGACAAGGAAGGTTTGGAATCACTTTTGATGATTGATTGATTGATTGATTTGGTGCTGGTACTGGGGTTTGAGCTCAGAGCCTGGGTGCTCTCTCTTAAGTATCTCTCTTTTTGCTCAAGGCTGGCATTTTACCACTTGAGCTATAGTTCCACTTCTGGCTTCTTGATAGTTAGTTGGAGATAAGTCTCATATATTCTTCTGCCTGGACTAGCTTCAAACTATGAACCTAAAACCTCAGTCTCTTGAATAGCTAGGATTACAGATATGAGCCAAAGGCTCCCAGTTTCTGATGGTGACTAATCTGACCATTTACTATTTGTGCTGCTTTTAACAATATTAATCATTGTCTTAAATTTCTTCATTCGTAAAGTAGATAGAATGAAACTTAAGTTTACTATGATGAGTAACTAAGAAATAAATAGAGAAACAAAGATCCAAAAGAATATTTCAGAATCAGAATAGTTGGATTAGTGCTGGAGAATCTTGATAATAGTTTCTGAAGAAAATTCTCTTCAATGTTATTGCTTTATAATAATAAAATTTAAGTGCAATAAGTTAAACATTGGTTTAAAAAGTGGAGATAGTCTTAAAAATTCTGAGGGACCATCAAAACTAAAAAAAAGTAGCAGAAGATCTTTAAATGAAATTGGAAGTATTTACTTGAATGGACCTGAAATGTACATGAAATGAATTTCCTCGCAAGTTCTAGGCAGGTCTACACTTGCAAGGGCTCATAGGGAAAACGTCATCACATATTTTAATGCTATTTGACAAACCTCTAAAACAGATTCTACACCCACTATTAGTAGCGTGACCTAACATTGAGCAATTCTTTCACTGTAGATGGTACCAAACCATGCTCATAACAACCAACGAAATTGTCCACCTAGGCTGCTGCTCTACAGATGAGACTGTAGAGATGGCCAACTATTCTCTTTCAAGATCCTCTGTTTGATAAAAGTACCCAGAGCTCAACAGCTATGCCCTCTGTCTTGAAGCTTCTCTATTTATTTTGGTTCTTCATTTCAAGTTCCAAGTCTTTTATTAGCAACTGTCTCTTAATTATGTTACTGTGGGATTCCACAGCTGGATATGGAAATCAAGTAGGTATTCAGGTGTCAGGTTTAATTAATCTGGGTAAGAAAACTATAATTCACAGTTATCCTGAGAATCAAAAGGTGAATTGCAAAACCTTTCTGTACATAACTCTGTTCTTTCAGTAGTGATACATAACTCTTCAGTTTTGTTTTTTGTTTTTTATTTTTTTGGTCCTGGGGCTTGAACTCTGTCTGTCCCTGAGCTCCTCAGCTCAAGACAAGTGCTCTACCACTTGAGCTACAGCGCCACTTCTGATTTTCTGGTAGTTAATTGGAAATAAGAGTCTCATGGACTTTCCTTCCTGGGCTGGCTTTGAACTGTGATCCTCAGATCTCAGCCTCCTGAGTAGCTAGGATTACAGGTGTGAAACCACTGGTGAATCTTCACTTCTTGTGTGTGTATGTGCTGCTCCTGGGACTTGAACTCAGGTCCTGGGTGCTGTCTCTGAGCTTTTCTGCTCAGAGTTAATGCTCTACTACTTAAGTCACAATTCCACTTCCAGCCTTTTGGTGGTTAACTAGAGATAAGACTATCAGTCTTTTCTTGTCCAGGCTGGCTTTGAACCATGATACTTGAATCTAAACCTCCTGAATAGTTAAGATAATAGGCATGAGCCACTGATACCCTGCTATAAACCTTCATTATTGAACTAGAATCCCTCTAATAATAATAACATCTACTGTGAAGAAGACCTTAAATGGAACACATAATAAACCTTAACTATAGCTTTGTGTGATCAACTAAGCAACCAAGACTTGAGAAGCTTCATGACATTTAGAATGCAATTCTTACAAGATCACACAACTAAAGCATGCAGAGCTGAAATTTAAACGTACATCTTCAAGACTCTGACATACCATCATAGACAGGAAGATGAGAGACATTTCAGGGGCAGGAACAGAAAGAACAGAAGCAGGAAGGTCAGCTAAATCTGAACTACTTCCAAGAAGGGATGAAAGAGAGATCAGTGAGTTTGCCCAACTCCGCCTTGTTTGGAAAAGACAGAATCACCAAAACCGCAAGCTAAGAAATGACTTTGAATTAATACTGGGAAAATGAATTGAAGGGTATTAAATACCGCCTCCCCCAAGTGCCTTTAGAAACTCAACAATGTATCAGCTCAAGGAAGCTTAGATTCTTCATGGATCTCTGTTTCTCTCTGTATTCCCCTCCCCTCCCCCCCCCCCCCCCCCACACACACACAAATGAAGCATTGTGATGGCCATGAATCACAATTCTGGAGAATCCAATACATAACTTCATGCTTTCGGTTTGGGGTCCTGCCTGGTTAGTACCTTCACTCAGGTGTGTCTGACAATGGATGGATTGTGCCAAAAGTCCAGTTCTGGCCTGGTTTACAGTGATGTTGCCTATGCCCTCATCAAGCCTCATCATGTCTTGCCTGGGTTAATAAAGAGCTTTCTCCAGGAGCTTCTCAGTTCCAGACTATCTTCCATAGGGCTGCCTGAGTAAATTTCTGAAATATGGACTTTGTCATCTGATCTGCTCCCTGAAGACCTCAACATTTCCCCTCTGCCTCCAAGATTCATCTCCATCTCCTTCCCACCACGCAAATCCTGCCTACTTGTATCCTGATTTTCTACCAGTCTGTCCCTTCTGTTTCCTATGCCAACCATAATGAACTATTTACAATTTGCAGAACTTGAACATTCGACATGGCTCTGCGTATGCTGTTCTCATTTCCTGGAATGACATCCTCTCCTGCCTGTTCAGACATCTTCCCTTTCTTCAAGTGATCTCAGCTCACACCCTGCCTCCTCCATGAAGCCTCATGGCACACTTACGTGGCGTTTCTCTCGTGTCTTCCTTCCCTTGTAAAAAGCTTGCATAATCATGATTTATTTCTCTACTGGATTGTTAGTTTCTTTTACTTATCTCTGCATCCCTGGTAATTTGTGTAGGTGCTTAGCAAATACCTTTTGAAGGAATGAATAAATGAGGGGCACTGAGCTGTTTGACATATTTCTTCCAGGGAAGATCAGTCTCATCAGCTATATCCTAGGAGAGTTAGAGCCATTCCAAGTATAATATAAACTGAAGTTCATAGGCAGGAATATTTAACTGCAAGGAAAACAGCTTGCCCTTTGGAAAGCAGATCACTTGCCTCTTGTCACTATTTAATTTTGAACACTTTGAAGGCAGGAACTATGTCTATTACCTCAGTATCCTTACTAACTGGCACAAAGATGGTCCTTAGTAATATTTAACAAATAAATGAAAGTGTGGGTGGATGGATATCTCAACTTATGCTCCTTTTGTTCTGGGCCAAGTAGTAGTTCTAATTACAGGGATGAAAAAACAATGACAGTAGATCTTAAAATATTCTCAGTAGAGGCATGATAATGTGAGAGGAGAAGAATGCCAGCTCTGCCTTGATCTTATTCTGTGATCCTGAGCAAGATCCTTTGCTTCCTTTTATTCACTTTCCCCATTTAAAAAATGAGCAAATTGGACCAAGGCAGTCCTGAAGGTCTACTCTACTCTGCTCTGATTTGCTACACAGGTGTTATAAATAAGAATCACAGACTTCACCTTGACATGTCCTGGCACAAGTCAGCTCTAGATTTTTTTTTTAACCTAAGAACCAGTCAGGACACAAGTGTTTTGTTAAGAGGGGAGGGAACGGGAGGGAAGGTGAATGAGTTACTTTTAAGCTCACATTCCAGAAAATGATGTT